TACGGACGAGAAGAATAGTTTTTTTTGCGCAAAACCGTGCAAAACGAGCTATTAGTCCAGTCCGTACATCTATGTACGGACGACACTAATAGCATTTTGTAGCCCAAAACAGTGCAAAAAAAACTCTCCCCCAGGAGGGTTTTTTTAAGCAGCCTCAATGTCTCGCGCAGCTGGTCAAAGCTGGGCGGAGGCAGGCTCCGACGTGACTGCCCGGAACTGGAGCTTGCCCGCGAGCTCGGCTGGGACTGGGCCCCAGGAGAAGGGGCGCGGCGTGTTGGACTGGACACGGAAGCCAGACTGAGAGGAGGCGCGGCTGCTTGCGGGGCTGCCTGAAGTGCTGCTGCCGGTGGCAGCGAGAAGTGCTGAGGCTGAGTGGCGTCGTTCATGCCGTTGGCGGACCGGACCGCGTCCTCGCTGCCCTGCTGGGGCGGGAGCGTGTTCTCCAGCACCCAGCCCGTGCCGCGTGCGAGGCCGTAGGCTGCGCCGCCTGCAAGCCCACGGCCAGCCCCGCCGTTGCCGCCGCGCCAACTCCCGCCGCGCCAGCCAGCGTTCCAGCAACCTCGCCCGCGGCGGGCGCCAGGGCCGCCGCTCCTTCTGCCAGGCCCCCCAGGTACCCAAAGGCTCCGCCCACGCCCTCGGCGGCAACGGCCACCTCCTGCCCGTTGCTGGCCAGGGCGCCGGCCTCGGGGTCTCCCGCCAGGTCGTCCTCAACAAAGCGGGTTCCGCCTTGGTACCTCCGCGCAAGGCGCACGTGGCCTCGCGGGAGTGCGGAAGCCGTCCTCACAAACGAGGTGGCCTTGCGGTCCGGCTGATCCAGCAGCGGCTCATTCCGCTCAAGGTAGCCCACCACCTGCTCAAAGCGCGGGCGCTAATTGAAGCCGTGGGCCCGAAGCGTCTTCATCTCTTTACCGTTGCGCAACTTCGTCCGCCGCCCGTTCCACGCCCCGGCGCTCGGCGCGTGTGTAGCGCAGCTGGGGCACCTGGCGGTGCACGGCCTCCGTCAGCCGGCTCACGTCGTCCAGGTGCCGCTGCCCTTCCTGGGCCTCCGTTCCCCAACCAGGAGTTGAAGGCCCGCGCCTCCTCCAGTTCTCGGTAGCGCTTCAGCAGCAGCGGCTGCAGGTTGTAGCTGGGGTGCGTCTTGTGGAACCACCGGAGCATCCGCGGCTCGTTGCGGGGTTCAATCGACATCATGTTGCTTTTATACCAGTACACTTGCGCCTGTGGTCAGCCGGTCAAGACCTGCTGCCCACCGGAGACGAAGCTGGGCCGAGCATGTGGTCCACGCTGAAGGGCTTGGTCGGCGAGGCGGCCGGGAGGCAGGGTAGTCCGCCGCATCTGGGAATTGCTGCCGCAGCTCCAGGTCGTTCAGGATCAGCCGGTTGCCGTTGTAGGCAACGCTCAGGCTGTTCGTGGTCTCGCCGTAGGTGGCGGTGGCAAAGTTGGAGCTGATCCAGGCGGCCAACCGTGCGCCCGTGTACGCGCCCTCGGGCAACAACGCCCAGTTCAGCGTGCCCAGCGCGGCGTCAACCCAGTAGAGGTAGGTCCTGGACAAAAAGCTGTCGGCCAGGCGGATCTTGTAGACGGCGAGCCGGGCGTCGCTCTGCAGGTGCAGGGGCTCCCCCAGGTCGACCTCGAAGTCGCTGTCCGAGCCGGCCACTCTCTTGCGGCTGTCCACGATCGTCGTCATTCTTTTCTTTAGGAAGCCACCTGTTCGGTGAACGATGGGCGGGTGGACGGCTGCGACGGAGGTGCAGCAGGAGATATTTTCAAACCGTGCGCTGATCAGCGTCGAGCTGGCGAACAGCTTCTGGCCCAGGAAGCTGAGCGCCGCTCCCATCCGCGTTTTCAATTACGAAGCGCTCTTCGAAGCGCTTGAAGAACATTTCATTCCTCGACTTCAGATAGTAGACGAAGAGGAAACTGTAGGGTTCCCTGGTCGCCTGTTCGTACAACTGGTACAGCTGCTCCTTCGACAGCAGGGCGCTGAGCTCCTCCACCACGGCGTCCAGCTCGTGCTGGTTGCGCAGCCTCCAGCAGCAGAGGAATTGCTGGTTGACCCGCACGGCTGCGCTGATGAGCCGCAGCTTCTGCGAGCTCACCCAGGTGCTGATCTGCGTATGACGGCCCCTGATGAACAGCGTATCCAGGGCGCCGTTGGGTCTGTGGAGCTGAGGCACATCCGCTAGGTCGTCGCAGATTATCAGGACCTGATAGAGTCGAAGAGCTGCTGGAGCTCTGCCACGTCGGCCTCAGCCATCTCCGTCTTCACCCTGCTGTCCGACAAATTCGTGAAGCTCGTGTTGCAGACCACGTTGCCCGTGTTGCCCGCGATCACGAGGCAGCCGGGGTTCCTCTGGTTCGTGGTCAGGGACAGCTGCGTCGAGAGGCTCTTCGTCTGCACCAGAGCCTCGTCGTTGATCATGATGAGCTCGCACTGGTGCGTCCCGCCGTCCCGCTCCAGGAAGACCCTGGCGCTCTGGTTGCCCAGCAGCCGCAGCTCCGGGCCGCTGTCGGAGGCCGCGCTGTTGTTGGAAATCTGCAGCTTGCTCCAGCCCGCCCAGTTCTTCGTCAGGAAGAGATCGTCCGAGAAGTCGGAGGTGTTGGTCACGGTGAGCGTGTTGGAGGCGAAGAGCTGCGGCGCGGAGACCGTGCCCGAGCTCGTCACGTCGCCGCAGACCACGCTGCCTGTCGACACTCCGCCGCTCGTGGCCGTGAAGGTGCAGTCCAGGCTCTCGGGCCCGTGGAGGCCGCCCCGCTGACTTCAAGGCCCGTGGTTGCTGCGCCTGATGCTGTCAATGTCCCCGTGGACACGTCGCCCACCGTGGTGAAGTTCCCGGCGTTGGCCGTGTTGTTGATGAGCTCAGCAGGCCCACGCTGGCCGCCCCCGTGATGCTCAGCGAGCTGCCTGACACGGCGCCTGTGGACGACAGTGTGGCTCCGGCGACGGTGCCTGTGGCTGTGAGCGCTGCGCAGGAAACGGCGCCCGAGGCGTCCACGCCCGTCGTGAACACGTCAGTGCAGTTCACGTCGTTGCACAGCAGCTGGTCGCAGCCCACGTTGCCCTGCGCGGTGAGCCCGTCCAGCGTGGCCGAGCCCGTGAGGGCCAGCGAGTCCGCCAGCAGGTCCGTCACGGAGACCGACTCTCCCTCGAAGGCTGAGGCCCTGATCTGCATGCTGTACAGGTCCAGCGTGCCCGCCGACTGCTGCACCAGCCCGGGGTCCAGCAGCACCTCTCCCAGGGTGGTCGTCGGCCCTCCGTCGAGGAACTCGTGCTTCAGCAGCAGTGCCGAAGCCGCCGCCGTGTCCTCCTCCACCTCCGCCGTGTTGCCGGTCTCCAGGGTTGCGTCCAGGATCTGGAGGCCGTAAACGTCCACCGTTCCAGCCGTCTGGTTGGGCAGGCCCGGCGCCCGAAGTGCAGCTTGGAACTCCGTTCGGAGGCACTGTGAAGTACATCTTGGCCGTGCTCCAGGCGCCCTGGTCGCCCACGAAGCTGCCGTACAGGGGGTCGTAGACGTTGTCTGCCTCGGACATGTGCACCACGAAGTTGGAGGCCGTGCCGAGCCGGTACCGGCAGGCGAAGAGGAGCTCTCGGCCCGGGGTCAAGTTGTAGGTGCGCACGATGTTCCACGGGTTCACCGCCAACACGTCCGCATTCGTCAGCAAGCCGCAAGCTTGCTTTCGTTTTCGCCCGCGTGATTTCTGGCCGCACCAATGCAAGCTATCACTGCATCCGCCCGACGCCCCATGGCGGCCGGAGCATAGAGGTGCTTCGCAAACTCTGAAGAGGGGGTGATAGATTAGGCCGTTTGCTTGGGGGCATATGAGGAGGCTCCGCAGAGGGGTGCAGATACGGGGAAAGGACACGCGATGTCTTTCCTGCACCTCCGAGCCTCAACTTCCAAGCAACGCCTTATAAAGAAAAAGGGGTGTGCGCACATGTTTGTCGGTCGCCCTCTTTTGTCTGGACTGCATGTTCCCTTTCGGATTGAAGCAGTGATCAAGATTCTAACGTTTAGGGTTTTGTTTTCCCTTATGTTTTAATCCTGATCGAATCTTCGGACGCGTGGCCGTTTTCTGCTCAAGCCACCTGAAGGACTTGCGTGGGGGTTACCCCTCACTTTTTTGTGCCCACCCACCCACCCTATCAATACTCAGACGAACCTGCCTGGGCCCAGCCACAGCTAAGGCCCCAAGAGGTGCGGTGCGCACCTTGAGCTTTATGCAAAGGTCACAAAAAATTTGGTTCATCACCGTGAGACGCATCTCACGCCAGCACCGCACGCTGCAGATGCTGCCAGGACTCAGCCTGGTACCCATCGCACATTAGCCGGATGCACGCATTGCATCCAGCTGCCACATGACTGTTTCGACTTGTCTCAACCTGGCACTGCGTGACGCATTGCACGCCAGCCGGGTGCACGCATTGCAGCCGGCCGCCATCAATGCCTTCGATTGTTTCACGCCTCACAGGTAACACACCTGGCGCCTGGTCGAACACGCATTGTTGACCACGTGGGCATATGAGGAGGCTCCGCAGAGGGGTGCAGATACGGGGAAAGGACACGCGACGTCTTTCCTCCTGCACCTCCAGGCCTCAACTTCCAAGCAACGCCTTATAAAGAAAAAGGGGCGTGCGCACATGTTTGTCGGTCGCCCTCTTTTGTCTGGACTGCATGTTCCCTTTCGGATTGAAGCAGTGATCAAGATTCTAACCCCCGTGTCTTTGATCCCCACACGAGTATGTTGCAACAGGATCGACTTGGAGTCACAGATTTGCCTGAGTCGGGGCTGGAATTGGTTTCATTGATTGTTTTCTGCAAAAGGCATTCAATCATGTTTCTGGTCCACCACGTGCCATGCAAAACTAATGGAAGTATTCAATATCCTTGGATGCGGCAATCGAGGTATTTGGCCATTAGGTTTGTCAAGGGTATTGGAGCGAGACAAGCAGAGACCATCTTATGGAACATCAAATGTTGAAGGCATTCTACATTTTGATCAGTGGCCGTTTTACGCATACCTTGATCAGCTCCGTCCGGCGCCATGGGCCGCGTCTTCCAAGCTGCGTGTGCATGTGCTGGGGTGGAAATCAAGAGCTTTGGCAGTCCCATGCAGCTAACGAACTGCTGGTGTAACGCTTGCCGCGCCTCCACCGGCAACGTCCCTGCAGTTTGGGCAGCGTACCCGCTGTCTCAGACGTTGTTCACATCCAGCAAGACGCTGCGCGTATTCCGGTCTGGGCCCAGCAGTGCGGACAGATATTTTTGCAGTGGGTGCGGAAGCACTGTGGCGATGTTGTACCACCAGGGCTCTGTGTGGCCGGAGAAACACACCGTGTGGCTGGCACGGCACTTTGCGAACATTGAGCAAGGCGGCTTTGACGAAATTCACATCTACCATGACCAGGACGATCCCTCATGCGAAGTGCCGCCTGCAGATGAATTTGTGATGCCCACGGGGCCAAGGCAGGACCAAGGCTCTGTTGCACCTGTTGCGAGTGGGGAGGAGGCATGCGTACGCATCTTCGATCAGCAGGGAGAGCTTCCGTTTTCCAGCTGGGTGGCAGTGAGCAAGGTACCAGCCTGGGTCAGTGAGTCTTCAAGTTGCTGTGAATGAGCAAAGAACGGCCTTGCTGCGTGCGCCTGTTGTGGGGGGCTGAGACGTGCATACGATATGCATCTTCGATCCTCGGATAGAGCTGCCCCTTTTCGGCTTAAGGTGCCAGAAAGGCTCGAGATGTTGCAAATCAGCGAAAAAGCCAAATGAGCACATGTGCGATGCATGGACCATTTTGCTTTGCCGCATACATACAGGTTGTTGGTGGCATTTTCTGACCAAGAGCTTCACTCACTGCAGCCAGTGCTTTTTCGTTTGTCCTCTCAGACGGAGAACCAACCCAGAAGCCAGAAAGGCGCACCCAACACTCTGATGAGGACGAAGACGAAGACAGACAGACGGATAAACAAGCAGAGGAGCGTCGCATCCAGGACAGAAAGTGACACTGTGTGAGGATCAGTGAGGATCTTAATGAACCAAATGCTCCAACAACCAGAACGTTTTTTTCTGCTTCAGATGTTGCATCCGAGCCGCTCATTGACCCTCGTAAGGTTTGTAGCTGTTGTACGTTGTTAGGTGTGCAACAGGACTTGTGCGTTGATGGTTTTCGTGCTCCATGGTGTCAGGGCCGTTCGAAGTGATGGAAAGGTTGAATGTGCACTGTGAAACTCGAAGTAGCTGTTGGCACACGAATCATTGGCTTTTTCAGTTCGCAGAGCTCTTGTCGCCACATTTGGGAACTGTTCCCTAAGTTGCAGGGGCTGTTGCATGGGCTGGGTGAAGGTGCTGTGAGCGTTTTCAAGATGCCATCGTTGATGGAACGTGCCGCCAATTTGTTCTCCCGCAAGCTGAAAGTGGGGGCAGGCAATCAACTCAACTGATCAGAGCAGCGCAACAAAATAGGTTTGTCGAGTAGCCCGGGTCGCCATCCGTAGCCAATATCCTTCATTGAGACATTGAGAGAGAGAGAGAGAGAGCTTCGTCACATATTGATTGCAATCAAGCTCTGCGACCGTGAGACATTTGCCACGGTTAAAGTACTGTGCGGAGTCGGTGCTAAAATACCAGGCGCCATTGCCAGACTTAGCTGGCCTTTTGGTTTCCTTTGTTTCCTTGAGCACTAAGTCATTTTTTTGCAGGTCTATTTCTGGCCAAGAAGCATGCAACCCAAACGTGGCACAAGCCATAGAGCCGTGCAGCGACTTGGCGCATGGCACCCAAGAAGCGCAACACTAAGCCTTCGCCTGAGTGAAGCGGCGGTGCGGCAATTGCCACATGTGATCTTTTTGAGGGGACTATTTTGGGACTCTGAAGAAAGTTGTCTTTATAACCATGTTAGTAGAGCCAAAGTCAACTGGCTTCGGGCGCTGCTCACGTTGAGGCCAGACCCAGCAAGCAAATCTGCAGGACTTGCACGGCGATTGAACAGCTGGGTCATATACTCAGAACGATTCCTGTGGTCGTTTCCCTTGATGTGCGGGTGTCCTACTGCGGGGCGATTAGGATGAGGGATCCTCCATTGAACAACCCAGTCTGGTCCGGATTCATCCGAGGTTCACATTACACTGGATCCTTCATCCAAGATTCGCCATGCAGCTTTGTCAGTTTGCAGGATCGCCAAAGAAGCGCTTCCGCCTGGATGCTTCCGGCTCCAGGGCAGCGATTGATCTGGATGAGGCCCGTGCGCTGGATTTCGTTGGATGCTTTCCAAGAGCTCAGCCTTCTTGGGTTCAACCCTCAAACAGAGTCAACCGGGGCTTTCCTTTTGTAGGAAACACCTTGGATGAGTTCAACAAACACGGAATGGGCCCACCACTGCCCACCATCAGGCTGAGTCTTTTTCTTTTGCACGTTTTTGCGCTGAAGCTTCGCCTGTGAAAGCCTTCGTTGTAAAACGCCAGGACGAAGCTCCGACACAGAAGCCCAAGGCAAAGGCAAGCCCCCAGCCACCTCCTGAGCTGACTCAGGAGACCTATTTAAAGGTTCTAACAAACGGGTTCCGATCGCTCACACCAACAATTCGGCAGTTTTTTGCATCCATTTGGAACCCATTTGTTAGAATCAGTTCAACGGGCACTGGTTTGATCCAGTTGTCCGGCCTTTTGTTCGGCGCTGAGGCCCAAATCTGCTGCCAGCGGGTCAAAGTCAGATCTTCCCAAGGCTGGAACTTGCCCTTGCAGGTTGAAGCTGCAGTGCGGTTGAGACTTGCAGAAAGATCTGGTCCACGGTGGACATACTCACCTTCATCTTCTGTAAAAACGCATGTGATTGGGCCAAGGATTGCCATGTCGCTAGGGGAACAGCGGAGCAGCGCCCAAAGCCTGTTGGCCTTTTCAGAAGGTGGTTCTACTACAAGGATTGCAGTATGGCCGGTTTTATCCTTTACAACCATCCTAGTAGAGCCAAGAGTCAATGGGGTTTTGGGTGCTGCTATGGTGAATGTTGACCGTGGCCCATCTTGTTCTTTGACCAAGTGCAAGTTTCTGATCGACGAGGCCGTGGTGGCCCAGTGTAAGTTTCACAGACAACGAGTCGACAAGACACGCAGCCAGTGGCACCCCGATATTTTGCATCAGGTTGCTCCCAGGCTTACATTCTTCCAGAGCTTGGAAAGGCTGGCTCTCGAAATTGGAGAGTCAACTGGGGCTCTGGAAATTGGACCGCTTGGGTTCACATTGAGCCTGATGGAAATGGCACCATGAGCCATGACAGCCTTTTGTCAGATGCTATGAGCAATTGGAGCAAGGACCTGGGATGGGATGGGGCCTATGTTTGGAAAGTGGACATACCAGGTTGTCTTCTGAGGATATTCTTGGGAATTTGTTTGAAGGGACACCAAGAGAAACCATCACCCGATTTTTCCGTGCCAGGACCTGGGGTGGGAGTATGCAGGGTGGGGCTCGGCGGCGTTGCTCACGCTCCTCGCGCTGCTGGCTTTGGTGGTCCTGTCGGTGAAGCGCTGCCGCCGCCACAACGAGGCGCGCGCGGCGCGGGCGTTGCTGGGAGATGAGCGGACGGAGACGCCCAGCGACTTGGCGAACCCGAAGAGAACGACCGCCGAGGCTACTGGGAGTTCCAACCTTTGGTCTTCGAGAGCTTTCGTCTCTGAGAGGTTTGGAATCTTAGACTTTACTCTTTTCAGAGTTTCGCGGGTTTGTAAAGGTTTGACCTTGTGAACGCGAGGTTGCAGCAGCCAGACGACCACCATGACCATGGCCTCAGCGCCCCGGAACCCCGACACCTTCGACGCTGTGGCGCAGCTGCCGCTAGCCTTCAGCCCCTCCGTGCCTTGCGTGGTGCGGGTGCTGTACCCGGCCAGCGCCGTGGCGTGCTGCTGCTCGATTGGATCTTTTGGATTTTGGGGATATGGAAAACCTGGGTACGCGTGCGGGTTTCCCGACTAAGCAAAAAGTGAAAGAATGAAGCACTTTCGTGGTGTCGGTAGCTGCATAGGCTGGTTCTACATTTGGGCAGACTTGTCTGTGGCTGCCAGCATCCATGCGGATCTGCTGCTGGGTGGCGCACCCTCGGGGGAGTGGACATGGTCAGGGACCATGGCAAAGCTGACTCTGCTGCCAGCGGCCAATGACGCGTGGAAGAGCGGTGCTCGAACCACTGCAATCGTATTGGGCTTTTTGAATGGTGTCTGGCCCTTTATTCAGACCCTTGTTCTTCTGTGCCCTGGCTGACCAATTTTGTCGATTGTGTGCATGCCAGCATTTTGAAGAGGTATTGATGCGGCATTGATGCTGAACCAAGGGTTGTGTGGTTTTTGCCCGGCCGCTGTCTTCCACACTCGTTTCGAGGCCAGTCTTTTTCCTTTTCCGACGTCGTTTTACGAGACTGCCGTCAGCCGGTCATCGATCCAGGCTCTCTTCTGCGGCTCTTCGCAGCACTTGGGAAATCCGGCGGGGCTCAGAGTTTGTTTTGGGCTGACCAGAATTGCATAGGTTGTGTGTGTGTGTGTGTGTGTTTGGGTAGTAAAGGGAAAGCCAAAAGGAAGGCTACCATTTTGGAGTCCGAAAACGCACAAAGCACACAAACGCACACACGCACACCCGACAGATTCGGATTCGCCGAGGTTTGTCCTTTCCATGGCTGGTCACCATATGGGCCGCTGTGTGCCAACTCCACTGGCGAGGCAAAAAGGCAAGGGAATGCAGGATTGGAAGCGTTGCAGCGGAGGGAAAGGGTCGGAATGTCAGGTCTCAGCAGACTTCAGCATGTTTCTGGTATGGCCCTCAGAGACTGGAAGGCAGGTGCCGGTTCAGTCTGGCATATGCTGAGGAAGGAGGTGTTTTCGCCTTCCTCTTTGCAGCGGTCGTGACCAATGCTCTAGGGTGCCCTGATGTTGTGACTTTTGTCAGAGTCTGAGTGCAGAAAGATGCCGCAAAGCAGTACTTGATATCTTGCTTGCAGGTATGCTGCTGATCATTACCACTTGGTCTCCACAAGCTGCGCGACACATACCCGTGCCAGGAGAACCTCTTGGTTGCTTGACATGAACATTTGCTTGACCCCGTAGCGCAAGAAAGCCTCTTGGACACATCTTGCAGCTCTGGAGCGAGGCCATGCTTGCCACTGTCATCGTATTCTAAAGGCAGTCTGCTCCTCACTGTGTGGAGTTCAAGTTTGGACTTGTGAGTCTTCTTTGAGGGCACCCTTGCATAGATTGTTTTGAAAGGCAACCAAAGAGAAACCAGCATGTTTTTGGGGTTCAGACAAACCCAGACAAATTGTGTGCTGAGGATATTGGCCAACGGTGTTGCTCCCGCTGGTTGCTGTGGGCTGCTTTCAGAACTCGCAATGCAAATAACCTGGCGGGGCTTCACTCAGGTTGCTGCAGCTGCATCTTCCGTGGTGACAACGCCGCCTGGCAGAAGTTGGCCAAACTGGGAGAGCGCTCTGTCATTGGAAGCACTTGCACAGCTCCCTCGCAAGGTTTTCTGTCTACCTCACAGGCGCAGAGAGTTGCCGGCCTTTGAGAGGGACATTCGGGGCAGCCGCCAGGGGGTGACAGCTTTCTGCAGAGCGCTCACAAGGAAGGGCTTCGGGCGTGGTTCGGCTGCCATTTGTCGACCTGAAGGCGACAGGCCTCAGGTGACTTGCAATTAGGCAGGATCTTCAAGACTTTAAGCTTTACCTTTTATGGGAAAGTTGTTGTCTTCCCACTAACCTACAACAAATCAAGCGTTTCGGGCAGCTCATTCGGCAGCAACTGTTTGTTTCTAACAAGAGGTCCCTTTGAACCCGAGCAGCTCTCATCGCCTGAACACAAACAACATGTGGGCTGGCGAAACAGAGTTCTGGAAAACAGACGAGCGCTTTGTCATGCACCGCATATTAAAACCAACTACGGTAAGATACGAGCCTTGACAGAACACACCCCAAGCTTGGCCGACCCAATGCTCGGACAATCAGGCAAGTGAACCGTACAACTGGCAATAATTCCAGAAACTATCAAGGCGAAGAGAAAGCCGGCATTAAATTCTGAGCTGTGTTCCTTGTCAGTTACAAGCAGACAAAAGATGTCCGAAGGTCCCAAACAGACGGACGCAGCGAGACATTGCAGTGCTGAAGAAGCACAACACTGACAAGACCCCGTAGAAGTCTTGCTGTAGGTTCGATTGCCATCCGGGGAGCCAAACTGTCTTCCCTTGATATTCGGAAATTCTAGGAAACCATTGTCTTCACAACAAGGCCCCTCGTAGCCCAATACAATTCCAAGCCATGCGAGCTTTCCCAAATCATAACAAATCTGCCCGAGACGACTCAACCAAAAGGCCAACCTGCTGAATGCAACATAGAGCAGTGTTGACAGCCCAGCATGGAAAACAAAGAAGCCCTTTGAACGTAGCAAACACATGAACATTGCACTCATCAAGCACTGCTCCCTCGAAGAGGGAGCTCGCAAAGCGATGCCACACACCGATTTTATCCGGTGTGTAGCATGTGTTTGAAATCAAGTCACTTATGAGAGTAAGTAGTTTCGTCTTTGTGTCAGCATATATGATATATTCGAAAATTTGTGAGGTTTTGCATTCAGCACAAGGAGGAAATCCGAATTCGTAGCTTTTCGCAAGAAGTACACGGTGCCCTGTCAAGCGCAATTCTTGGCTTTGCATGATCTGGTGACACATGTGCGGAGGGTTTAATAGCTTGGATGCAGATCATTGCGACATAGGATGGGCTTCGCCTTCTTGGTTTTAGCTTCTCCGAACAGGCCAAGCCGGAGTACATCCGGAACTACAGCCTCCTGTCGTTCGGCTTGCAGGCGCTGCAGATTTATTTTTGGCATTTGAAGCTGATCCTGGCTGCGAGTTCAATGACAACGACAACGGCGTCGATGTCTACGAGAGGCCTTTTCCATTTCAACCGGGAGTTCCGGTTGCCAGGTGTCTCTTTTGGTTTTCAAGTTTGGTATGCAGCCAAAAGCAGGAAAAGTAGCTTGGGGACAACACCAGCAGGTAAACCCTCAGGAATACATGACACGAGCCCTTGAGCTTCCTGTGTTGCAGTCCTGCCAGGCTGCTGCAGGCCATTTTCTTGGCAACGTCACTGGCGGTGCCACTGCTGCTTGCAGGCGCTGAGTCGGTCTTGAATGAAGTGAGCTCTTCCTCATGTCAGGTGTTCTTCTGGTTGCAACTTGTTGGCAGGGGAGCACCAGATGGTAACTCACTGAGAATTGCATTCCTCTGGGGATGACGCTTGCCCATGTTGGATGAAAGAGCTGAATCGGACGGGGCTGAGCTTTGGGAGCCCAGGTATGGGTGTTGCCGCTGCGCCCCAAAGCACAAAACGTGCTTCTTCAGACGCTTGGCTGGTGCTCTTTTTATGCAGGCACTCATGGACAGGAAGCATCGCCGCATCGCTCAGGTTGGGACATGCGCTGGACGCGTGGGTGGCATTGGATGTATCTTGCTTGAACTTGCGCAAGGCAAAAGTAAAAACTGGCAGCTCCTGGCTGAGGTGTTTGTGGCTGTGGTTGCCCTTTGCAGCCTGGACTTTGGCACGATGACAGAGTGCCGGTCTTACCAGCCAGGGTCCAGATGGGCAGCCAAAGTGGTTCTCTGATTTCAGTTTTACTTTTTTCAGCCCATTTGGCAGGTCCTTACACTCGACACAAGTGATTTTGACCGTAGCTTTAACGCTGTCGAACGAATGGACCAAGGTACGCTGTGCATCAGGGCCCCATGCAAGAAGCATGCGACATGATGAAGAGGCCTCGGATGTCGGACGACAAGCTTGCGAGCACTGCAGTGGAGGTGCATGATTTTCATGGTAAGACATTTGGTGGCAAATGGTGATGATTTCAAGTTCGAATGGGTTTCGTGCTTTTCTCTGTTGTCTCTCAGAGCTGGCTCCAAGACTCCACGACGATTTTTACAGAGATATGCTCATCTCAAGTTTGTGGGACACCAATCCAGGTTGTTGTCCTTTTCGTTTCCCTTTATGCAGACCAGAAAGGGGTACTCTCAATGTTTGCAGCTGGCTTCTGCATGTAAATAACAATGCTGCAGAAGCTCCAATGACAATGTCTGACTCAATTGCACATGCACATGGGATGAGCATGGCAAAGTGAATAGCAAATTTAGTTATTGGCCCAACAAGAAAGCCATGTGGCCCGTGGTCAGATCCGGACTTGGAAGGTCGTTTGTCTTTGTTTAGTGAGTGAGGAAGAGCTTGGGCCCACGAAATGGCGTGTTGATCAGATGTATCCAGCATATGCAAACTCTCATCTCAACTTTGTTGTGGTGGTGGTGCAAAACATACACTTGTTTTTCCACCGACATTCAGAAAGGTAGAGGTTGAAACAAAGAGCAAGCGCATCGGCGAGTCGCTTATGCGAAAGCTTGCCCACTTCGGCAAAACCCCGCCAGGGAGCTGCACTTGAATGCTTGCGTTGGAGCGTCTGTACAGCTGGAGAGAGGCCAGGTGCTTTCCTTGACAGCTTGCGTATGTGGAAGTGCTTGTTTCTGTTTTTGGTCCTCGTTTCGTGTTTCCACATGTGGCAAATGGGTGCGGCACGCATATCTCATGCAGGGGATGCTTTTCTCAACATCACGTCTTTTGCGATTGTGAGCGTAGGAGACAGGATTGTGGGGAGTTCGTCAGGTTTTGTGCTTCTGGCAGCTTCTGCTTTGGCCTTGCTGATTGTGCCCAAGGCCGGTCGAAGCTAGTCAGCACCCTTTGCTGGCAAAGCGCAGAGTGTCCCAGACCTCCGGTGGTGCCTTCGTTTTGTTTGCTTGTTTGTTTGATTGGACGGGGTTTCCCTTTGAATTTAACTGCTCCAGCACTGAAGATCGGTGATAAAAGCAGCTCAAATATTTGTGTACCTCAACGTGGGAACCCCCTGTTTGTGCATTTGAAAGTGAACACATCAAGCCAACATTTCGGATGATTCCTGGCTCTTTTGTGGCAAGTAGATATGAGTTTGTCTTGGGGGACCCCCCCAGGAGAAAAAGAGAAGGTGGTTTTCTTTAAACCAAAGTGGAGTTCCTCTTCAAAACAGACACACTCATCTTTGGAGGGTCTTGCCCTTTTAGGTGGTGCTGCGGGCCTGTGGCAAGGCAACAGAGCAAAGGAACCAGGTGCGCGATTCGATGTTCGAATCTGGGCATGGTTTTTTGAGGGTACCTGTTCCAAATGGAAACCACTTGTTTTTGGGGTTTCCTCAGGTTAGTCAAACCCACATGATAACAGGAGTGTTTCTCAAAATAGGGGACTCCTCCCCAAAGCAAAGGACGCCTCCTCAAGCCCAAAGAAGTCCACCATCTTGACAACCCCCCAATAACTCTCATAACCCGAAAGTCGACTCGCTTTTGCTTCTTGATGTACAAAGGAAAACCAAGAGGAAGGCTCACTCGTTTAAGTCCCAAAAAGTGCCACCGAGTACATCATGGTTTGGATTGGCGGTTGAGTGTGATCCCTTGGCTGCTTTCTAGACTCATTTTGGAGCCAACCTCCAAACCACCTGGCCAAACCCAAACAAAACACCAAGTAGGGGTACCCCCGCACCACTTGACTTTCTCAATAGGAAGGTTGTTTTCCAAGAGGGGCTGTTGGGCAAGCTGAGAACCGTATTCACGCGCAGTTGGCCAGCCGGGCCTGGGCAGCTTCGGCTTTGGCTGGGACAGGCTGGCTGGAGAGTGACGAAGGCTGCCAGTCATCAAGTCCGTTTGGGGGTTAGCAGGTAGCATGAGCATCGTAACTATACCTTTGCTCAATTGGTACAATCACCATGATCAATATGGGTGCGTGGCACGGTATGTGTGAAAGCAGGGGGACCCCCAACATGGAGGTCTTCCAACTGGCTGCCCTTTCAACCAACCTGAAAAGGGTACCCTCAACAGAACCACCCCGATATTTTGACGTGGTAGACAAGCATTACAAAGGGTCTCATGGCTTTTGGACCATGACGGCCAGTCGTTTCACATGTATATCCGTTTTTAGGGTGGTCTTTCATTCAGGCTGAATGAATCCTAGGGATGGTCACTCACCATTTATAATTTTTGAACTCCGTGTCTTGATTAGTCAATCAGTTGAATGAATCCCCGTCCGCCACACCAGAAGAGCACTGAAATCGCTCGACTTCGAACACGCTGCCAGACCGCGGACAGATTTGAGCCCGGCCATTCAGGAAGCCCAGTGAGGTCTATTCGAGCCCCCCCCCCCCCACAAAAAAAGGTACGGCTTATTGGGCATGGTTTCTTGCTTTTTTTTTTTGGCATCTTCCGTGTTAGTGAGGGGTTTCAGTAGATCTCAAGTGGGAACCCCAGGATCATTCCGTTGGCACGCCTGTTTTGGTTCTTTGCCTACTGCATGCAACGTGGGCAAACTTGGATGAAGAGTCGCTCCCAAGGAAGGGTTCACGTCTTTGTTTAGCGTGTAGCCTCTTGGAGGTGTGAACATCCAGGGTTCCCACTAGATGATGTATAGATGCTTCCGTACCAGCCAGCAGGAGAGAAAAAGTGCTTGCCGCGGATTGTTGGAGTGTTGCTGTGACTTGTCGTTGAAGGAGAGTTGGAGATTGTTTGCAACACATCGGAAGGTAAATGATGCATCGGCCCGGCTTCCTTTGGCAGGCGCGTTGATGCCTGTCTGTTCTCTTGGAAAAGCAACCTGCAAGCTAGAGCCTTTCAGGTGAGCCATGAAAACCCGGTCTCAACCAGGAAAAAGGTTTGGCCGCCCTGTCAGTTCCAAAGCCATAGGTTTGGGCAGACTTCTTTTGCTACGTTTTGATTGTGACTGCGCTTTGTTTCAGGGTGTGTCTTTTATTTTTAGGTGACCCCCACACTGTTTTGGATCTCCCTTTGTTTTTTTTGGTTCCCTTTCCTTGAAGCAGAACAAAAGGCGTTTCAGGCGTCACCATGGTCTTCACCGGCGAGATGGATGCCATGGCCCGCAACGATGCCGAGGAGAAGGCCAAGGCCGCGGGCGCCAAGGCGGGACTGCGAGCACCAAGATGGAAGTTGGCTCCGGAGCTCTAGATGGGCACCCCCTGCTTTGCCCCTTTGACCCCTCCTTAACCCCTTGGGGGGGATCGCAAAAGGAGACGGTTTTGTTGGAGCAACCCAATGGAAAGCCAAAGACACAGACCAAGTACATGCGGGAAGCACTGCAAGAACAACTTGTCGCTGCAAATCCATGGGGACTTAGTCGGCACGCATCCCTTGTCCTAGCCGCAATCGAGAAACAGCACAACTCGTTTTTCTGCTTCGCCCTTGCCCCCGAAACTGTAAGTTTTTAGTGCTTTTCGCTGTGCGGGACTTGCTATGGACATTTAGCCCAAGTTGCATTCGCTGTTGGAGTGCAGCTCTGGAGCAAGGGATGTTTGGCATGGAGGTGCTTGGTGCAGTCTCCGGCAATGTCCAGTACTTGGTGGTGCCATCCTTGGCTCCATTTTTGCTACTGTATGTGCGTGTGCAGTGCCACAAGGTGTTTGGGCACGGGACTCTTTTTGCATCTTTCAGGCTGGCTCCAGACTAGACGATGGCCGGACAGTTGAAGAGACATCGAAGTGCAGCTCGCTTTCGATATCGTTCGTGCCTTTGTTTTGATACCCTACGCGATCGTGCCTGTGAGCCTGTGAGAGTGTTCGCAATTTGGGAGACTTACAAGCTGAACGATGGCAGGTACAAGAAAATGATGGAGTTGAAGGAAAAGGGCAAGAAGCACCCTTCTCTGCTCAGCGAGGTGTTGTTGTTTTTCATCTCCTTGCGCCCAGCTTGAGCTCCCGCAGGCTGAGTTCCTGGCACTCCTTCCAGATGCACCCACAAAGAAGTCGGTGCCCGTGGAAAGGCAGGATGCCCACCTTCGGCGAAAACGACCTTCCGTGTCAAAATTCTGGACCGCCTAAAGGCAGGGGTTCACAAGCATATTTTGTTGTTTTGACACCCTCTTTGGGGTTTCCCTATTCTGAACTGACCTTGTGGAGGGGTCTCTAGTTTTGACACAGGAGCACATTTGACCTGCAGGTTACCAATCGTCTCCACGCCGGAGGGTCGGTTCTTAGGTGTCGCGTCGGATTGGACCAAGTGTTTGGTCGGCGAGGCTCTGTGCAGAACTGGGTGGACAGATTCGCTCCGAAGTCCTTCGACCAGCTGATCGGCAACGCTAGCGTGGTCAAGTCGGGCTGCCCAGAGTTGATCCGGCCTCATGTGGCTATGAGTTATCAGGGAACCATCTCAACAGTGATTGGTGGACATGAACCCCCACCATGTCCAGCAAAGCGTCCCCTGTCAAAATTCACCCCCACTTTGATGCCACCCTTCCTCTCCATAACTCACATTATTGTGCTTTGCGATCACCTGGCACAGTCCTGCTCTCTCAGCCGCACTTCCTGGAGGGGTTCCCCCTTTCCGCGGAGACGGCACTCGACTGCGTCAAATTGCCTGGCCCAGAGTCAAACTCAATGACCCCTCCTTCTGGTTTGCAAAGGACGTCAAAGCACGAACCATTTAACTCCCCCTCATTCCACAATCTCGCATTCCAATTCTGCATTCTGCTTGACCTTGCATCGATTCAGAGCACAGTCTGCAGCTCTTGGCGATGTGGCGCTTTGCATTGCATTGCGATCTATTGCAAGCCTGCTAGCCAGCACGGGCTTGCGAACTTACGTCTTTAAGTTGACCAGTTGTCTGCAATCTTCCTGGTGATCGACATCTCTCTGTGACGACTACTGACAAAACGGACATCCAAACTTCAAGGTTTGCCTGGGCGAGTACCTCACTTTAGCCGGTCGCTTTCCTTCTACTTAGAATTTTCTTGCGCTTGCCTCTACATGAACATCATTTTGTACAGTACTTGAGATTCTGGTTCTTGCTCTCTTTCTTCTCTCTTCTTTTTGGCTCCTGCAATATCTCCCACTTCAGATTCGATGTCTCCTTTCGTTCCTTTTGTGGTCCACCCCCTTTCTATCCTTTGCCTTGTTTGCGCATTCCGCTTGCTTCTTCTCTTCATACTGCCCCTCCCACCCCTACATCTCTCCAGTCGGCTCTCAGGTATTCCAATCCTGTCAACATACAGGCTTATGCGGGGCCTATGGAACGCGGTTGCTAGATCAGCCCAATCTCATTTGTCAAATGCACAAGGTCGTCCTGTATTTAACATGAAAATCATCGTTCGCGGTCTGCGTGGCACTGGCAAATCAGCGTTACTGAGAAGGTTACGAAACAAGCCTTTTGAAACGGAATACATCCCAACGCCTGAAATTGATGTTGTCAATGTATCGTGGTCGTACAAAGCAACTGATGAATTAATTAAACTTGAGGCCTATTTGCATGATGAGTGTTTTTTGTTAACAACGCACAGCGTCGAGGTTCAAATCCCCACGACACACCTTGGCGTATTTGTCCAAGGATCCCCGCGGAGAAACGATACCCCAGGTTTGCTTTGTTGGAACACAACACATGCGCAGGCCCCCCACCCGCTTCCAGGTGTGGTCGTATCATTTGGTCCTCTTGTGCCAGCAGTATGCACCAGAACGTGATGTGATGAAGTGTGAAAGTAGACATCATAGCTGAAGGTTCATAAGAGCACGCCTGAATGATCGTGGTCAAATCATTCATCCTTCTGACAGCCTCTTTTGCGTGTGTCTCACAGACACTTTGGAATTTACCGCTGACCCTCCAACTCAGAACAAGACGCATTACTTTGTTCTGCTCCAGAGTCACCAGTAAGGAAGCTGACAGAGTGGCTGCGAGATTGGGATGACGTGCTTTGCTTAACTTGCTCTTTTGCCCGACAGCTGTTGTCCTCCGGTGAACTGAAGGTGGTCTTGAAAGGCAAGACCAAGAAGGCCGCCTTCAAGCCAGGTGGCGGGATGCCTGAGGCCAGGATGGGACAGCTTGGAGTGAAAGTACATGCCCGTTTTTGGTTGCTTGCCACTTCTGGCAAGTGGGTACGTCCCCCTTCTGGGACTTTTAGGAAGAGGGGTAAAAGGCAAAAGCAAGCTTTTTCGGGTCATGGTATGTAATTCGGCTATGTACAATCTCTTGTAGAGTTTGCATGTCAAGCTTCACGGAGTTGCACATCCATGTGCGTGCAGAACATCAATGCCCGGGCTGCCCTCATCAGCGGCCCACCGGGCATTGGAAAGACGACAGCTTGTTCTTGCCCAAGAGTTGACACACGGCAATGCCATGGATGTGGTTCGCTCGGTCGCATGCGGCAGTGGCACGCGTGAGGTCGACTGGTTGCCCATCTTCATGGTAGCTACCAGGCAAGAATTCCGGGCCTCCCAAAAGGAAGCCAACAAGAGATGATATATTGTTGTCTTTTCCGGACCCCACCTTCCATTTCGACTCTCAGAATGCACTTGTTTTGCAAATCTCACCCGTTTTGGTTTCAAATCTCCGTTTCGGTTTCGCCAGGTTCTGGAGTACAATGCGTCAGATTCCCGCGGTCAGAAGATCATCCAGGAACCAGCTGCGATTTCGCTGGTGTTTTCTCGGCAACCTCCCGAATTTCAATTCTTAGACCTCGAGCGGTGCCCTTTGTTCCTTTTGGGAGCTTCTTGATGCCAAGGCAGGCGGCTGAGTGTTAAGTTCACTGAGAATTCCGTTGATTGTGTGGAAAAGGTTATCCCAAAGCAGTGCTGCTCTTGGCCTGGTCAAAGGAAGTTTAACAAGAAACTTCCGTAGTACTGGAACTAAATGAGCTAGCTGCTTTGACATATAGCTATGACAGGTAGCTAGCATGACAAATAGATAGCTTTGACATATAGCTAGCTTGACAGATAGATAGCTTTCCAATAGGCTTGCATGACAAATAGATAGCTTTGACATATAGCCAGCTTAACACATAGATAGCTTTCCAAAGACTAGCATGACAGATAGATAGCTTTGACATATAACCAGCTTGACAGATAGATAGCTTTAAGATACATGGATGTGCGCGAAAAAAGCTACGAGAAAAGCTGAAATCAGGAGAGCTGGGGGATAGCAAGTTGCAGAAACGTTGGTGCCATGCGTGAATTGGGCTTCCGGACAGTGCGCAAACCACCTCGGTCGCGACGCCTGTACGGAGGCGGTCTCGGAACGGTCCCGGAACGGTCTCGGAACGGTCTCGGAACGGTCTCGGAGACGGGACCATTGGCACGGCCGCGCGAAGGTTTCGCTAGGTTTGAATTGCGTGGCAGGTGCAGCACTTTCGCAAGGTCAAGTATAGATTTCGTGGCAGGCGCAGCACTTTCGCGAGGTCGAGTACAGATTTCGTGGCAGGCGCAGCACTTTCGCAAGGTGCTGCGTCCACTTTCTGCGAGCTGGGGGATAGCAAGTTGCAGAAACGTTGGTGCCATGCGTGAATTGGGCTTCCGGACAGTGCGCAAACCACCTCGGTCGCGACGCCTGTACGGAGGCGGTCTCGGAACGGTCCCGGAACGGTCTCGGAACGGTCTCGGAACGGTCTCGGAGACGGGACCATTGGCACGGCCGCGCGAAGGTTTCGCTAGGTTTGAATTGGCAGCACTTTCGCAAGGTCAAGTATAGATTTCGTGGCAGGCGCAGCACGCGAGGTCGAGTACAGATTTCGTGGCAGGCGCAGCACTTTCGCAAGGTGCTGCGTCCACTTTCTGCGAGCTGGGGGATAGCAAGTTGCAGAAACGTTGGTGCCATGCGTGAATTGGGCTTCCGGACAGTGCGCAAACCACCTCGGTCGCGACGCCTGTACGGAGGCGGTCTCGGAACGGTCTCGGAACGGTCTCGGAACGGTCTCGGAACGACGGGAGACGGGCCCATTGGCACGGCCGCGCGAAGGTTTCGCTAGGTTTGAATTGCGTGGCAGGCTGCAGCACTTTCGCAAGGTCAAGTATAGATTTCGTGGCAGGCGCAGCACTTTCGCAAGGTGGTATAGATTTCGTGGCAGGCGCAGCACTTTCCCAAGGTCAAGTGTAGATTTCGTGGCAGGCGCAGCACTTTCGCAAGGTCAAGTATAGATTTCGTGGCAGGCGCAGCACTTTCGCAAGGTCAAGTACGATTTCGTGGCAGGCGCATCACTTTCGCAAGGTCAAGTACAGAATTTGTGGCAGGCGCAGCACTTTCGCAAGGTCAAGTACAAAATTCGTGGCACGCGCAGCACTTTCGCAAGGTCAAGTACAGATTTTGTGGCAGGCGCAGCGCTTTAGCAAGGTCAAGCACAGATTTGAGCAGCCGGGGCTCGAAAATCAACTTTTAAGTACGAAAGTAGTACGCGAAGTCAACTTTCGCAGCTGGGGCTTGAAAATCGCAACTTTTAAGTACGAAAGTAGTGCGCAAAGTCCACTTTCGCAGCCGGGGCTTGAAAATCGCAACTTTTAAGTACGAAAGTAGTACGCAAAGTCCACTTTCGCAGCTGGGGCTCGAAAATCGCGACTTTTTAGTACGAAAGTAGTACGCGAAGTCCACTTTCGTAGCTGGGGCTCGAAAATCGCAACTTTTAACTACGAAAGTAGTACGTGAAGTCCAGTTTCGCAGCTGGGGCTCGAAAATCGCAACTTTTAAGTACGAAAGTAGTACGCGAAGTCAACTTTCGGGGATTGAACATCGCAACTTTTAAGTGCAGAGAAAGATGGGTAGATAGATAGATCAATAAACAGATATAGAGATAGCTAGAGAAATAGATAGAAAGAGATAGAGAAACAGAGATAGACAGAGATAGATAGATTTGTAGATAGATAGACAATAACTAGCTATCGCAAACTTAAGTACGAAAGTACGCGAAAGTCTTTTCAGCTGGGGCTTGAAAATCGCAACTTTTAAGTACGAAAGTAGTACGCAAAGTCCACTTTCGCAGCTGGGGCTCGAAAATCGCGACTTTTTAGTACGAAAGTAGTACGCGAAGTCCACTTTCGTAGCTGGGGCTTGAAAATCGCAACTTTTAAGTACGAAAGTAGTGCGCAAAGTCCACTTTCGCAGCCGGGGCTCGAAAATCGCAACTTTTAAGTACGAAAGTAGTACGCGAAGTCAACTTTCGGGGATTGAACATCGCAACTTTTAAGTGCAGAGAAAGATGGGTAGATAGATAGATCAATAAACAGATGTAGAGATAGCTAGAGAGATAGATAGAAAGAGAGAGAAAGAGACAGAGAAACAGAAAGAGAAAGAGAAAGAGAAAGAGAGAAAGAGAGAAAGAGAGAAAAAGAGAGAGAGAAAGAGAAGCAAGGGGCCAAGGACAGTTCTCCAAACTATAGTTGTTCACTGCTTTGAAACTTCCGCCCCCCGGCTCTGCCGGACCTTACTTGTACATGTGGGCCAAAGTCGAAGCCGCTGGCTTGCCTGCCTTCGTCACTTGACGTCTTTAAGACTATAGTGGACCTGGCGCGGCATGTCAGGCAGGTGACTGGCTGCGTGTGGCAGGCTTGCGCGTCGTGAACGCCCGCAGTGGAGCGGGCGTGCTTATCCTTTGGCAAACTGTGCAGTCGCGCGGGCGCGCTCACTACATGGCAAGCGCGCGCCCGTAGTCTTGAACGCGCGTAGACGAGCCGGCGTGCTCATCATTTGGAGGACGCCTGTTCAGCCATGAGCGTGCGCAGTCGATCAAGTGTGCTTGTCATTTGGTTGGTTCGTGGAGCTCGAGCATGAATCTGCAAAACATGCCCACAAAACCATGCAAAAGTCAGGGTAAAGGCAAAGTCTGGGCCAAGAAGGACGAATTCAACATCTACCCCACTCCGGCTGCGCTGTCAAGACAGAGACAAAAAAAGGAGACAGAGGCAGAGAAACACCAGCACAGAGCAGGGCGCTCTGGACTTTAGGCCTTGCCGGGCGCTGTTCAGCTTTGCCGAGCTTGCCGTGGAGAAAGCTTGTATCAGGTCTTTTTGCAGGTTGCTTCAAAGGCATTCCAATGGAATGCCGCCATTTCGATGTTCTGGGGGTCTGCGCATTTTCGCACATCCTCCGGTTGATGATTCGCAGTTATGCGAGGAGATGGCGAGTGGCATCGCAGACAACCGCACTTTGAGCTTCGGAGGGCAGTTGGGCAAGAAGGTCCGGGGAGGAGGGCGCGACAGATCTGGAAAGGCGGCCCGTGCCAGGTTCCAGCCCTGACTAAAAAAGCGGTCATCATCATGGATGAGGTACGCCTTCCAATTTTCTGAAAGGTGGCTTTTCTTGTACCTGAGCCGAGGTCGATGGTATGGGAGCGGGGGACAGAGGCGGCATGGCAGCACTCAACAGGAGCGAACGGTGATTGGGTTTGCATCCAATTGAGGAACTTCGGAACTGGGCGATTTCCCCTTGGTTTTTCCTTTTAACACAACTCCGTAGAATGCCTGCGGGGATTTGGGCGGTTTAGTTTGCGCAGGATGATCAAGAAGACCAGGAATCCCATCATCTGCATTTGCAATGACTCGCACAGCCCCAAGGTTGGCTTTTCGCTTTTGGACTCTTTTGGTTCTTTCTTTCTGTCACAACTGGAGCCAGTTGGGGTCTTGGGAGCACGGTTTGAGTTTGATGCCAGGTGCGCTCCTTGGCGTGAGGATCTCGGGTTTGCCTCTTACTTGGCGCTGAGAGGAGCCTTGACCGTTTGAGGTTCAACTGCTACGACCTCAAGTTCACCAGGCGCCCCAAACAGGATCTTTGTCCGGTTGCCAGCATCAGATGCATCACCATGTCGTATATCGTATTGGTTTTTGCACATAGTGTACTTTAACACATGCCCACATATCTATACAGGGGTGTTCAGTTGCGGAAGCAAGTGCAAGGAAGAGAACATAGATTACCACGAGTAGAAAAAGAAGCAGCCCTCCTTGCGTATGCTCCACCAATTTGGCATTTTCGATTGATAGATCGATGTTGCTAAAGTACTGGGTCTTCCAAATCTTCGCGAAACGTGTGATTAAAAACGTCGCCCGGCCTTGAAGACCGTGTATCAGGCAAGCTACTGGTAGGTACTTTATATGATGAAAGAAAGCATGAACGCTGTAAGATAGAAAGAGAATGGAGCTTTTGGCCATGTTTGATTTGAGATCTGAGACCTAGAACTGCAGCACAAAAGTGAAGAGATGTAAGAAGCATCCACCAGGCGTAAAGCAAGGATGAAATATTTCCTGCGCTCAAAAGCCACAAGAGAAGTTAGCCAACAACGTAAGGATAAACACAAGTTGACTCCAGCATATACCGTTTCATGGAGACGATTGAAAGATACTGTAGGTGCAACATGATGTTCAAAATCTGCACGCAACCAGGCATTGCTATGACAAAGATAGTAGGACAGTCGCGACATGTAACGCTGTTGGGCTTGTATATTAGTAATTTTGGATAATACATATATATATATATATGAGAGGCCAATGCCCTGAGTGGTGGTAATTTACATGTAAAACACGTGTTTGTCGTAAGGGGAACAAAACAACTTTTTGGCCACGCATAGAGTGAACAAAAACAAAACACTCGAGAAAACGTTAAACAAAGAAGCCCCAGACAAAAGGTCTTGGCCCAAGTCCGACATTTGCATTGGCAAATATAGGAGTTGAGTCTATGACCCTTTGTCTGAGGCTTTGCCTATTTTGGTTGTCTTGAAGTCTGTTGGAGTTTTATGATCCCTGGTGCCGCGCTTTCATCTATGCAGACATTGCGCCAAAAGGCTAGGAGCAGATTTGAATAGGTGGAAGATGGCAAATGCGCAGATGTGCAAAGCTATAGAAGAGCTGTAAGGAGCTTCAAAAGGAGTCTTACAAGCAGCTTTGCAGGAGGATTTGAGGAGTTCATACGGAGCCTTGTACAAGGAGCCTAAGGAGTGTTTATAGCGCCCTGCTTCCTCGAACTCGCAGTGAGGCAGCATCAGCCTAGATATGGGCTGCAATTGGGAACCCAGTGCTCACAGTGTGCGGTCACTCTTTGAAACTGCAATTAACTTTGATTAAAATCCTGTTTGGAAAGGATCTCACTTACATTAGCACTCAACATAGACTTTCAACGTCCATTTGCATAGAATTATCTTTGATTACAGTCCGATTTGGAAAGTACTCCCTAATTGAATCCTCAACTAGAATAGACATTCAACTGCACACATCTTGTTCTTCAATTCTGTTACAATTCTAATTCGATGTTGAATTGAATCTAAGTTCTAGTTGATGCAGCAAATATGATACATCAATTATATTGGAACTATTCCCTGACTAAGTTCTATTCATGGACAGGATGCCTTACATAGTTTTTGACTGAAGGTAGAAGTCTAATGGAAGCATCAACACCACGACCCGCAAAGGCCTGCCTCCTCCAGAAGACCTTCAAGCGCCCTGCCACGGCCTACTGAAAACTAAGGGGTAGCCACACTGTCTCTAGTGTGTGAATATAACATGGGAAGACACTCTCGCTAAACATCTGGTGTCTGGAAAAGGCCGTTGCTATAGACAGAGAGAGAGAGAGAGAGACTTCATAGGGCAAAACCAAAAAACCTCGAAGAAAACCAAAAAACAACAATCTTCTGGAGACTATGAGACTATGTACTGGCCGAGGACTCCTGAGCATTTCCCTTAGGACTTTTTTTGTTTTGTTTTTTTCTTCAATGTTTTTTTGGGTATTGCCCAGAAAACCAAAAAAGCCTCGAGTTTTTTGTTTTTTGTGTGTGGAGATATCGAAAAACCTCGAGGATTTTTGGTTTCTGTGCAAAACCCAAAACAACCTCGAAGAAAACCACCACTCACAGCATTGGTTTCTGATATATATATATATACATATATATATATATATAATCCTTTGTCCAGAAATGACACATTGCAATGCCCTTCTTGTGTTTACCTCTCATACCGCTCGCTACTCTGATTGCTGCGCTTTTTCGAGCCTTCCAGCGCACGTACTGCACAGGGAAACTATGGGAATGGGTAGCAAACAGCAAATGCAATGCAGCATGCAATGGCACCCTTCATATGGGCAATCGGTTGACACGGGCCGCGCAGAATCTTCAACATTTGGAGGTCAGTGCTCCCACCAGTGCAAATCTTGGATCTCCAGCTCAAAGTCACCTGAAAAGTCTGTTGAAACTCTTTCATCCAGGCAACTGATACACTGTGTATTTACATACTATACAGAATGCTATGATGTGTTACATGCCCCTGCTTTGCTCGGAGATGGCCAGGGTAACCCCAGTTCTGCACAGCAGCGGGCTTGAGACACGGCAGGCCGACGAAAGCCACGGTGGCGCAGCGCTGTGCAGCTTGGCCGCATGGGGTCACGGGAAGGGTTTCGAGCTTGATTGTAGATCGTTTACGGCAGGTGGGTTATAGCAGCTATATCTGTAAAATTGCAACATTTGTCAAAACAACCCGCACACTTCAAAGGAACAACCGAAGGTCGTTCAAACAATAGTGATGAAACCTGGGGATGGGGAACCTAGGGACCTCACCTTGCTGCATTGGATCCGTCTACTCAAGAACGACTGAGGCGCGCATTGCAGCCGCCTCAGGCCTCCAGGCGCGAGTGCGCTAGTCTCTCTTTTGGCTTCGTTCTTGGTTCACTTGGGAAACCAACCAGCGTATCAAGAGCAAGGTGCTTTGGACATTAGCATCATGTGAAAACAACAGCACATCGAAACAGGGCTTCCCTTCTTTGCCGGGTTGGTTGCCTGGGAAACACAAATTAAATTTCACAAGGGGGTTCCCACACCATTCTGAGAAGCAGCTGTTGGACTTTGGTAGGTGGATGAGAACGCCCTCGAGGCCTTGGCCGAGTGGGGCTGCCCAGGTGTCGCCTCGCACGCCAGTTGAAGAGAAGCTCTGAGGTCCTGTGGCAGCGACATGCGTATGGTGCCCTCGCCGCTTCATGCGTCAGGTTGCCAAACAATGGGGCCTCATTTTGGGCTCTGGTGAAGTCTAGTGCCGCCTTTAAAGGGGGTCCAAAAAGGGGGCCCATACTTCGCCGCGCGGCTCATCCAACTGTTTGCTGTCGGGCTCAAAACACTCAGCGGGCATCGGCCTTCACCAGCGCCGAGTTGGCATGGGAGGTTGGCACCTGAGCCCAAGGCGCCATTTTCAGGATGGCCGGTTGCCTTTGAGATCCTGGTTCTTGTTGTCAGGAAAAAGGGAGAGAAAGATGCAGAGGGGGGGAGAGAGAGCTGAAGGCAAACCTCGGTCCCCAAAGCCATGCTCCGAGGTGTGGTGGACCGCTTCTGGGCCCAGGATGACTCTCCGGAGGTGGGAGGGCCTTGCGGTGTACCGTGACTGGCGGCCTTGCAGGTGCCCGCGCCTTTGAAGCAGTTGCAGAGCTGGGGACGAGAGGACCCAAGTCTTTTTCGCCGTGCAGAAAAGAAAAACGCACACCATTTTGGATTCAAAGGGCTGAGTGCCTCCAGCTCAGCGCCTGTCCAGGATCTGCGACATTCCTTCGAGGTCTTTAGGTCCATCGGTGGCAATGCGGTCAACAGCAGGCGGATTTCGGACATTTTTTTGCAGCATGTGGCCAGCTCTGCTGGTAGGCAGCTGGGGCAGATCCTCCGGATCAGCAACTTCTCGACAACCAAGGCTCGATCCTTGGGGGCAGCGTGTCAAGGGCAATATTGAATTCAGGGGACTCTTAAGTTTCTATTCGCAGGGGTTCTTAAGTTTGACCCGAAGCCACATCTGGGCATGTCTTGAAATAGACCGAAAATGGCGTTTGCTCTTTTGTTTTCTCTCCATTTTTGGCGACCAGACATTTCTTTCGCAGGAGATCTTCGATTTGCTGATCGGGCGCGGAGAGAGCCGAGAGATCTGATCCTGAGAGGGGAGCTGGTTTTGCCACACCTTTTTGGCAAACCAACCATGTTGGGGTCCTTCATTTTGAGACAAGCCCATGTGGAGCACACCCAAAGCTCATCCTGCAAGCTTTGTCGGCCGACTTGTTTCAATCAATGCGCCTTTGACTTAGCTGGTATTGACCAGTTTACCAGGGCCAATACAAAAAATGCATGCGGGAAGCGAGCAAGCTTCAGACCTGTGACTTGAATGGGAACACACGAGTTCTGTTGATGTTGAACGAAAATCCTGAGTGGCAGAGATTTGGGTGTGTCCAGGCCAGGCGCTTCAGAGCACTCGTTGCTGGACTTCTGGTCGGTGCTAGGCGAGGTGATCTTCAGTACTCCTTGGGGCTCCTTGTTTTTTTTTTTTGTGTGTGTGTCTTTATGCATGTGGCAGGTGCCATGGTGGTGATGTCTGGTCAGCACTACGTCTCTCGTGTGTCACCCTTAGGGGCAGCAGCTCTTGCCGTATTGCGGCAAGGTTCATGGTGCAGCTTAGGTGACCTTCCTCTTCAGCATGTTCGACATGGATGGCGACGGAAGTCTCAACCTCTCGGAAGTGGTGATTGCAGCGCCTCGACAAGCGATCAGAAGTCGTCTAACCCAAATCTCTGCATGACCAGCTGGTCGATACATGCTTCCAGCCTCGACTCCGCCCTGTTCCAAGGTGCGGACCATGTTTACTGGTCAGGGCCTTGGGCGCCCGTGCTGCAAAAGCTCCAACGATGGAAGGAGCCACATATTTGAGGCTCCTTTCTAATCTGGCGGCTGACATGCAAGGAGCTCTTTCATGGGAGCCTATGTGCTTTGCTCATGGTCGTTGTCATGATTTACATGTTTCCTCCTTTCTGTTTTATCCCTTTCTATCCCTCTCTCGGGAGACCCGGCCTGGTGGATCCCTGTTGCCCATAGTTGTATAGCCAGGTTTACAAGTAGTTTAATCCACGGCTTTTCTTTGATCCGAATCGACGCTGCCATCACGTGATCGAACCCAACCCATGAGGCCTGGCGCGGTTCTGCCCGAAGGCCAGCCTGCCGGATGAGCGGCGCCTCGAGCAGCTGGCGAAGGCATCCCAGCCGATCCGATCGCATCGACAAAAGCAAAAAGCCAGAACGAACAACCAAAACCTTTGCAGAGCCATCATGGTACTCTTTTTTTGCTTCCTGGTAGAGCCGGAAGTGAGGTCAGGTCCAGAGCTCAAGTGGAGCCTTTGTTTCGATTTGATTGCCACTGGGGTATGGAACCATTGGAGGATTTTTCTTTTGGGGATCGATTTGTTGCTTGTTCAGAGAACTGGAAGCCCCAGTTTGAAGGGGTGCCACGCCATTTTTGCACGCCGGCGGCCAACCAGGGTTCATCAACCATGGGCTTTGGTTCCTCATCCTATTCCTCCGCACGGCGAGCCGCTCCTTCCTGGGCTCGCCAGGAGATGTTCGAGCGCTTCGACGCAGACGGTCTGGGACTTTTTCGGCGGACGTTCTGGGTGTGTCACCAAGGGGAACCCCACATGGATGGCTTTCGTGTAAGGTTTTCCGTTCAACCAAGCTCGACAATTTTCAAGTGGGGCAACCTCAGGTGTACTCCCTAAGATGATTGGTTTCCTTTCGGTTTTGCTTCAAAGCAAAGCAAAACAAGGTGGGTGGCTCTTTCCTCACACACACACACACACACACACACACACACACACACACACACACACACACACACACACACACACACACACACACACACACACACACACACACACACACACACACACACACACACACACACACACACACACACACACACACACACACACACACACACACACACACACACACACACACACACACACACACACACACACACACACACACACACACACACACACACACACACACACACACACACACACACACACACACACACACACACACACACACACACACACACACACACACACACACACACACACACACACACACACACACACACACACACACACACACACACACACACACACGCACACACGCACACACACACACACACCTGCCACACTGCACCTGCCTGCAGGCACATACACCTGCACCTGCTGCACACACCCTGCACACACTAGCACACCTGCACACACACACGCACACACACACCTGCCTATGCCACCTGCCACCTGCCACCTGTCTTATCTTGCACTTAATAGCAACCTTCTACCAATATGTCTTACCTGCCTGCCACCTCTGCCACGGCTGCCAGCCTGCCTCCACCTGCTTATGCCCTGCACCACCACCACACACACTGCCACTATCACTTGCCTGCCGCCTGCCACCTTGTGCCTGCCATACTGTTATGCTTAATGCCCCGCCTACCTAACATGCTACCAATACCTATACTTGTCAATATGCCTGGGCCTATTACAACAACAATGTATCTTGCCATGCCTCTTCGTGTACTGCTAACTGCCGCCGTATGTGTCTTGTCTGTGTGACATATAATCTTTGCCCCCCATGCCTTGCCCGCCATAACATGTTAATCTCGACAACGATGTGTAATATGTAATGTTGTCAGCGTAGCTGTGTATAATGACATTAATAATATAATGTAATAAACGTTGTGCCTGTGTACAGCGACTGCTATGTGTCATATTCTTGACTATATGTATGTATTGTGCATTACCATATAATACGTGCCACTGCGGCGTAATGTGTGACGCGACGAGCGTGTGCGCGTGCGTAACGTATGACCAGCGGCGCTGACATTGACTAACCTTGTCTTGTGCAACGCAGCAACAACATACGCTCAACATAGCGTGCGCATGGCAGCCGCCTATACCGTAGCTGTGTGCTTATTAGCCTGTTTATCCTGCCTTGTGTGGCCTTGTTGTAGCGGCGGCGCGCAACATATAGCGACACGACCGTTGTGGCGATAATATCGTGCGCTTAATATGTTATGTGTGCAGCAACTCTTGACAACATGACGTAATGCGGCGGCGTGCGGCGCGACAATCAGCATCGCGACGGCTTGTCCGCGGCGCCGTGTATACCTTGCCGCGCGGCTGGCGCATTATATGCGACGCTAGTGTGGCGGCCAGCGTGCGTGGCGCGCGTTGCGGCATGCGCGGCACGGCGGCATGGCGTTGCGTCGGCGCGTGGCGTGCGTGGCTGTGCAGCGTGCCTTGCGGCGCGCGCAGCGGCGGTCGCGTCAGCGCGTGCGGCGCGTGGCGCCATCGCTTGCTTCGCCGCGGCGCCGCCGCCGCCGCTTGCCCGCCGCCATGTGTCGCCGCCCGCCATGCCAGCCACCGTAGCCATGCGCCGCCGCCGCCGCCGCCGCCGCGCCGCCGCCGCGCCGCCGCCGCCGCCATGCCGTGGCCGCCCGCCGTGCCTTAGCCGCCGCCGCGCCGCCGCCGCCGACGCCGCCGCCACGCCAGCGCGCCAGCCGCCGCCGCCGCCGCCGCCGCCGCCGCCGCCGCCGCCAACAGCCATGCCGGCCGCCGCCGACCGCCGCCCCGCTGCCGCCACCCGCGACCGCGTGGCGTTCGCACAGCCGCGGCAACCGCACGCCACGCGTGCGACCCGCCGCGCGGCCGCGCAGCCGCAGCAGCGCGACCGTTGCGACCAGCGCCGCGCTGGCGCCGCGTGACGCGCCGGGCGCGCGCCGCGCGGGCGCCGGCGCCCCCGCCGCGCGCGGCCACGCCGCGCCGCGCCCGCGCCACCACGCGCGTGCGCCCACGCTTCTGCGGCGCTGCGCGCCAGCGCCACGCCCGTGCGCGCCAACGACGTGAGCGTGGCGACCGACCGACCCACGCCGCCGCCGCACGCCGCCGCCGCCGCCGCCGCCGGCTGCGCCGCCGCCGCCGCGCGCGCGCGCCGCGCGCCGCCCACGCGCGCGCGCGCGCGCACGCGCGCGCGCGCGCGCGACACCCACACACACACACACACACACACACACACACACACACACACACACACACACACACACACACACACACACACACACACACACACACACACACACACACACACACACACACACACACACACACACACACACACACA